CGTATGCCTGACTCATTTCTTTTGACAGTGACTGTTTATTTTAACATGAATATTTGCGCATTCGAAGCGTGTATGCAAAACCTGAGTTTTGTAAAAATTCTAGATAGCAAGTTTGTTGTTGCGAATTAACACCAATATTGTCGACTAAAGATCAATAATACTTTTGATTCTATTGTACAGTACGTTAGGGCTGAGAAACTGTTCACAGATTAACTGTGAAAGCTTTTGCCATAGCAATGACGTTTCAACATGGCCGCCAACTATAATTTAATTGTAATTATTTCGTGAATCCTTCGGTCAATTTTTTTAAGACTGGAACGCTCACTCTGTCGGAAGTTTGAAGCAAAGATGGCGGACACTATATATATAGCCTTTCTTGTAGGTATGACCCAGATCTCCACGCGGAAATTTCCTATGTAAAATTGCGGCAATTATGATTTCACCTTTGAAATCTTCCCCAGAGCCCTGGATCATACCTAAAAAAAAGGCTTCATTGTCCGCCATCTTGGTTTCACTCATTAATGACGGAAAGTCAGATAGTGACCGTTCCAGTCTTATTTGAGCTTACTGATTGAAACTTCATTGTTGCCTTGCCAACGGCTTATAATTGGCTTCAATACGTTAAAGCTAATTTTAATCTATAATTTACAACATGGATGATTAATTCTACATCATCAAACCTGCATTCAACAATTTTCTCAAAACTCTAGGGAGCCACCTTAAGGAATCGAACGGTCCCAGCTAAGCAGTATCATTGACACAAAGAAAACTAATTGCAATTGAAATCTGCCTAAGTAATGAGCGTTTTATACGAAAATGCAATAGACCTAGTTTAGTTATAATGATACTCATTGTTTTTTCTAAAGATTATTGTCCGAGTGAAGAAGTTGGTTCACTGGAAGCATATGGAATTTTCCAGTGGCCAGAAACAGCAATCGGAATTCGTGCCACAATTGCTTGCCCTTATAACAATGACTCTATCGCGAGCCGTGATTGCCTTTCTACAAACCAAACAGAAAGTGGGGGTGTTTGGGGGCCGTCTTTAGTTACGGATTGCAAGTATATGGAGCAGCGAAGTGGAAATCTTTTCCTATTATCTCAGGTAACTAAATACCTTCAAATCCCACTTCAATTTCTTTCTGATTAAACTTTCCATCTTACAAGATTTTTATTGTTTTCAGAGAGAAGTTAATAGTAGCAACGTTGTGAACATCACTAAAGAGGTTAAAGAATGGTCTTCTACTAATCAAAACAACACTCTTAACCCTGGTGATATTGACTATATCGCTACAATATTAAACAGCATTGCGCTGGTGAAAGAAAAAGCAAACGAGGTTTGTGAATCATCCAATAGTAATTTCTTTTGGATAGAAGATAGGAAGTTGATCTTAAAGAAATAAAAATTTGGACAAAGGTGGTTGAAAATAAGACTGTGAGATACGTACAATTTCGATTCTTTGTGATTTGGCATACTAATTTTTAAGATACTTTAAGACTAATTTTTAAGACTTACAAAAGTTTTGCACAAGAATCGTATGAAATATCATATCGATTTTCTAGGTAGATTATCATGTCATATTTCTAACCATGTTTCTGATTGATAGCACCAGAATACACATTCACATTCACATTGATTGGATGAGTAATCATGCTTTTTAAATGCACGATTCTTTGTGAAATTATCTTTTGCTTCATGTTTAAACGTAGGTTCTCGACGACTTCCTCACAATCATAGACAATGTGCTGGATGCCCAACTTAAAAATATCGTAGAAAGTCAACAGAATCGAAACTCTTCATCGAGGTAATAATTCGAGACCTTTTAAATTGATAAAGCAGGGATATGTCATATGTGTGACGTGGGTCAAAACATTGCCTGAAATTAGTTACATAATGGCTGTCGCTTTTGTATTAATTTGCATTTCACCAATTCATATTTGCAATGTTTTTCACCAGCTCATATTTGCAATATATAAACTTGGAATCATCACAATCACGGATTTTGACAATGTTTCTGGACGTCAGATGAATAGAAAGCTTTTTGAAACATTTTTTAACATACTTTTTGCCTAGAACGATTATGCAGTCCACTGAATTTAAGAATATATATTGCTCTAAATATTGGTCTAAGTATTGCCCGTCTTTTCTCAACGAAATTTTTGTACGAATACGAATATTTTTTATTTGGATAGAGATAGTTTGAAATGGAAGATTCTCATAAAAAGACAATGATCAAATACCTAGGCAACGGCAATGTTTCTACCCTATATATTTTATAGTATATAGACGTTTAAGGTCTAATAATGAGCTTTCTTCCTTCTTAACTTTGCAGGATTGTTGAAACTTTAAATACGTTTGCAGAATCATTGGTTATTGGCCCGGAAAGCGAACTTCAGGCGGTGAAAAAAAACTTTGATATTAGCTTACAAACAGTGAAGCCACAGAACTTTAGCGGACTTAATTTTTCTGGCATTATCAGCAAAACAAATCAATCACAAACAAGAAATAACACTTCAAAAATACAGAGTAATGAAGTAACACAAGTCTTGTCGCCTTCACTTATAATTCCGCGAACAATATTCAACGAATCAACTGAAAAAAACAGATCCGCAAACCAGACCGTCATTTTTGTGCTCTATAGAGAAACAAAATTCTTTATATTATCATTGGCGGACACTACTAGGAGATCAAGTCGCTTGAATAGTCTTGTAATTTCCGGAAGTATTGAAGGGTTGTCAGTTTCAAATTTAAGTGTTCCAGTAAACATTGCACTACCAAGTATTGAAAGAGGCGAAACAAAAAGCATTCTGTGCTCTTACTGGGACTTCAGCATAGGAAATTGGTCGCAAGATGGTTGCAAGTTTGAACGCGTTCTTGAAGATGGAAGGGTGCTTTGTAGTTGCGACCATTTTACCAACTTTGCAATGTTGATGGTAAGATTCTTATAACCAATACTGTGTATACGTAGATATGTACTTTCCTAATGGTCTAGGTCATTGAAAATCACGATTTATCCTGTTTTAAAAAATTACAGGGATGCAAACTTAAATGTTCCGATCCGTAATCGATTCTGAATGTTTTTTTTCCTCAAAAAATTAGTCGATTGGCTTATTCTATTGTCTCATTGCTCTATTGTATTGTTCTCTATAATTAATAATTAATGATATATAATTATATGCAAAACTTTTTTCGTCGCTTTTCTTAGCAAACTAAAATTCTCAATCCTCTTCATTTCGCGCAGGATAACTCTAGACAATTGGCTCGGAGGTGAACTAAAAGTGGTGTATTCAGTTCGATCGTAGAAGTTTTATATTTATAGCCTGTATAACGTTTAGTACTGGAAAAGTTTTATTTATTTCAGGTTCAGCTCCGAGGCAAAAATATTTAAACTGGATAAAACTAATTCTGTCGTTCAAGAGTTAAAACCTATTTTGTTATCGTGTTCACAAAAATCGTCTACTTTCGACCAATGCCATTCGGGGTGTTTGGTTTGGGTATACTAAAGTGATTGAAGATTCCTACAAGTCTTTTATCACTCAGAGCAATTTGGCTTGTAATTATAACATGTCATGAAAAGATTTTCATATTTTTCAAAATAAAAGAAAAATACTTTAATTAATGACCTAGATCACCTTTTAAAAGTATTTCATATTTTCCAGTACCATTCGTGATTGTGCATGCATGGCTTAAACTTTTGTCAACTTCTACAACTTGTAATAATTCGAGGATCCAGTCTTACGTAAACATATTGGTATAGAAAAAAGGTTTTGAATTTTTTTATTCTTAGGACATAGCTCCAGGAGAGAAGACTGCACATGACAAAATACTTGGTGTAATAAGTTACATCGGCTGTGCGCTCTCATTGGCTGGGCTCATCTTGACAATATTTACGATACTAATTTTGAGGTGAATATCGAATTTTATCGAAGCATATTTTAAACTGTTCAGTTTATGAGTTGAAGAAAACCGAGGCAATATTACAAAAACGGTGTCTAATGCAGGTTTTCCACAAGCGATATTAAGGACCTTAAGATACACCATGCAAATGTATACGACGCGGACGTGAAATGATATAACTAATGATATTACTCTCACAAGGCACGTGCAAAAATGGAAAACATCCTTCTTCAAAACATGCATGAAAAATATTTTCATTTTGACAAATAAGTTTGAAAATAAGCCATAACACAATAATAAGCCTTGCGGTCTTGGCTCAAAATAAAAAAAATATTTTTAAAGCATGTGTTTCATGAAGAAGGATGTTTTACATCTTTGCACGTGGCTCGTGAGAGTAAAACTTGAAATACATTTCATTTTTAAATTAAAATACTCTGACATTAAAATGTTGAGACATAATTACCAAAACGGTCTATTATCTGGAACAATTTACAAAAAGACAAACGAATTATTTCTCTTCGCTGCTTGAAAACTGATCGCTGCTAGAGAAACCAATTATGTTTCTTAATAGCATAGTTCTCAGGGTGTCTTTTATATCTTTTCCGCGAGTCGAATTACCAACTCATATGTAAGGGCCTGAAGGCTGCATTGTCAACGCGCTTTTACTTTACTTATTCTCAATGCGATTTTGCAATTTTGCAAGTTCAACAACTATAATTTTCAGAAAAAGTAGAAAACATTTAGGACTTCATACTCTCGGCGAGGTTTTGAAACTTAAAGTTTGACAATTAATTCAAAAATCTTCGCTGGTTTCCTATGCGTATTTTCTGTCTATATAGCGTTTACTTTAATCGCTTTATATTCTTTGCCTTTTCCTGTTTAGGGATCTTCGAACACAAATTCCAAGCCAGATTTTGCTGAACTTTTGTATTGCGTTGTCGGTGACGTTAATTGTGTTCATCGCTGCCGTTGAGAAGACCAGGACATCATCACTGGCCGGCTGTCGGGCAGCGGCGATCGCCCTTCATTACTTCTTGTTAGCAGCATTATTTTGGATGGCAGTAGAAGCGTATAATATGTACTGGGCATTTGTTAAAGTCTTTTCTGCTCCGTCCCGAGCTAAACTTTTAATCAAATGCTGTGTGTTTGCATGGGGTAAGATTTAAAATTTTATATACACCTAAAAGGGAATAATAAAATGTGAACTTTCAGAAATTGCGTTTAGAGCAAGTTCGATGATATTAATTTTAGCTTTTTTTGAAAACGGAAAAAAGTTAGCAGAAATGATATCTATTAAAATATTATTTTTTATATCATCACTCTTTTCTTATAAAAAAGTCATTATATATTTTGTAATATTTATTATTAATTTGATAACTGTTCATTTTACATAGGTACTCCTGCCGTAGTCGTGGGTATAACAATGGTAGTTGCACTGGATAAATATGGCGACGGAACCTAGTAAGAGACGTGATTTTTAAGTCATATTCCAATGTAAATAACAACTTTAAACAAAATAGGCGAAACTTTGCCTCATTTGGGAAGCTTTGAGTGCACTGATTAAGATATGTTCTATTTTAACGTCAGGAATGTCTGCCGCCGAAATTTTTCAGACAAAAAAGAGGATATACTCAACAATCAAACCAACTAATTGCTCTAAAACTGATAAAAATGGTTGGGGATCGTCTCAATCTCGTCTTGTTACACAATATTAATTATGTATACGGCTTGTGTAATTTGTAGTTGGACCCTCTCAATCCTTCTTATTTTGGCTGCCTACAACCTGGACGCCCTATATAAAGTTATCGCCTTTTATATTAATTTATGTTATCACTACTGTGCTCGTGCAGACTACAATTAACAATGATCTGTTTTCTTTTGTTACGCAAGATAGATTTTACTGCCTCTTCAAACTGTTGCATAAAAGAGCAAAATCTGACTTCCAGATTCTTTCTTTCAGTTGTCGGTTGCAAGGCGTACCTTTCATTGTGGCATTTCTAACTCCAACTGTTCTTATCATCGTTGGTAATATCGTGGCTTTTTGCTTCATCATTCGATCATTGCTAACTTCTGGTGCCAAGGTTACCTCTGACAAGAAAACAACGGGCTATCAGCAAGCTCGGCAGGGGATTGCGATTATGGTGCTGCTTGGTTTGACATGGCTTTTTGGCATTCTCGCGATTGGCGATGCCAAACTGGTGTTTCAATACCTTTTCTGCATTTTCAATTCTCTTCAAGGGATGCTTGTGTTTATATTTTTCGTTGTTTTACCTACTGGAACAAGACGAAAACTACAAAAACTAAGGAAAAGAATGACTTATAGTAATAATAGAAATTGCGGTAATGATAATCGAAGTGATTTTCAGCTTAAAAATTTGGCGGACGACAGCTCCCAGTTGAACAAAAATGTTTATTCCAACACTGGCGATATTCCAACACTGACCTCCGGTGCGGCTGAATCAAAATATCAAAATCCAACTTTTGACCATCAAGCGTTTGAAAACCATGTAAAGAATGTCAGTGATGAAGAAGAAGACATGGATCGTGTTTACGAGATACTAGATCAAAAATTTGATAACGAGTTATGGTCAAACCCAAACGTGACTCGCTACAGTGTGAGAAAGAATGGAACCACTTATGTGACAACAATTGAACTCAATATAAAATAGATTCCTTGCTCAGTTTATGTATACATACATATATAGATATATAGATAGATAGATAGATAGATACCTGAAATTTCATTAGAATTGCATATGTTGTGTAATATGATTGAAATCCCATGCAAATGTTATCATATGCAATTCCAATTAGACTTCGAGTATCTATCTATCTATCTATCTGCGGCCAACGTTTTTGCAAATGGGTGTATATATATATATCCAAATATCCACCCATCTAAAGCGTTAATAAGCTTGAATTTGAGAGATCGATTTTATGTATATATCGCTGTGAGTGCAGGCATTATTAACATACATCAAATATCCAAGTGCCACACAACTCATATCCCATCGTCGTCATGAACATTCTTACAATACAGGAGATAAGTATAGTTAAAATTAGGTATATCATCGGCGCCAAGTACTTTTGGGTATTTGGAACCTACGCCGTACGAATGTCGTATGAGGCCTGGGACAGTTTATATATATATATATATATATATATATATATATATATATATATATATATATTATATATATATATATGTAAATATATATATATATATATATATATATATATATATATATATATATATATATATATCGATAAGCGATAATATATCCCCATATTTTCGGAGACGCATGTCGTAGTAGATTTTGTTAAATAAAACCTAAATATATAGGAAGACAAATAAATATATAGATATATAGGTATATATATATATATATATATATATATATATATATATATATATATATATATATATATATATATATATATATATGTATATATATACATTGGTATCTATGGTATACATGTGAGACATAGGTGAATATATCCCATCAAATGTCATACAATTAACAACTGTATTGTATCAACATCTCATATCCGAACATAATATATAAATATTTTTCGTGGGCTTTCAAAGGTTTCTCATTCAAAGCCAACAATGACGTCATAAAGTTGTATATGGGTATAAGGATAGCTAAACGCTATCTCTTCGCCTGGTGCAATTTCTTCCGCTTTGTCGTTGCTATGAGTATTTCTAAATAATTGCTCAATCCCTATCAGATGAACAACGGGGTATTTCGTTTTTAACCAATCAACAAGTTTGCTTACATTTTCATTAACCCAATCTGAATGCATAAATTTTGACTACTTCCGGAACATTATTTATCACTTTACACGAAGTATTAAAATTTTTGAATACTGGTTAGCTTTTCACAAAAATGTAAACATGCCGATTAGTTGAAAACTAAATTCGCAAACATTCAATCACTGGGCTATACGCAATCAATAAAACTAATCTGATCACGTAAGGTATTCTCGGTGAAGAGTCTATTCCAGTGAATGTAGACTGTAGTAGTGTTTCATCAAAGTTTGTCATATGAAAATGTAGCATGTTGAAATCACGGAGCTCTATAGACTATACGTATTATAGAAAGATTAATTGACCTATCTTGCATTAACGTTTACCGCTTTACTTAAAAACCAAGATACGCGTATGTATCCAAGTTTGTACACACTGAGGCACAAGTGAGCACATTCAGAGTCTTGAATACTTCCGAATATGTTTTGGTTCCTGTTATATATATTACGAGATAAAAATAGTATCGTGAAGTAATCGCCTTCCAGGTATCAGAAATATGTACATTATTATCATAATGTTGTTATGCATTCGTGCATTCTGAGACGGATTTGATTCCTAATACATCTTTTAAATAAAAACTTCGATGCATTTTTTGTATGCACTCTTTATTTAGAATAACGTTTTATTCCAAATTTGCTATAGTTATCGGTTGTTAAAGGGTTTTTGAATGATAATACTTTCATGTTAGTTTAATCATGGGTTAATTTACCGTTGTGTATAGTGAGAGTTGATCAAGATAAAATTAATGCATGAAAGATGAACAAAAAGAAAACTAAAAATTGTGAAGTGAATTACAAATGGCGTTGCGATTAATGTAGATTTAGCACACAAGAAACATTCTTCCTGCTCGTTATGATAGCACAACAGCCGTGCGTGAGGGGTGGGCAATACCCAATTGAAGCAGCATTTCCGATTGCGTGAAATGAAGCCTGGGAAAGCATAACAATATGATTTCGCCACATGCGGAAAGCGAAGCGTATGTCGTAGTCAGATTTTTGTTAAATACAACATAATTATACAGAAAGACAAATAAACATATATAGATTATATATATACATATATACTTTGTAAAAATGTCCCATCAAATGCGGTACAAAAACTGCTGATAATTACGGTCTTTTTTGTATGCATACGTTTTGAAAAGAGACAAGCTCGACAAAATATAAGAATATTTTTTATGGGCTTCCAAAAGCCCTTCAAGCCAACCCAAAGAATGACATCATAAAAGTGTCTATGAATGCATAGGTATATATCTATGAAGTGTATGACATATCTATAAGTGTCTATGAATGCATAGGTATATGTCTTCGCCTGGTGCAATTTCTTCCGCTTTGGCGTTGCTATCGGTTCTGATCTACACATAATTTCTCAGATTATTTTACTAATTATACCTAATTCATCCGGAGTAATTCTATATAATTGCTCAATCGCTATCAGACGAACAACGGGGGATTTCGTTTTGGACCAATCAATAAGTTTGTTTACATCTTCATTAACCCAATCCGAATACATTATTTTTGAATACTTCCGGAAATTTTTTTATTATTTTACACAAAGATTTTAAATTTAGGAATCATGGTTAGCTTTGCCTAAAAAATGTAAACAAATATGTCTATTAGTCAAAACTAAATACATAAACCGAAGTTTAAATTGATGTGCATGCATGTGGGAAATGCTTATACTTGCTAACATTCAAGTACTAGGCTATATGCAATCAACCAAACGAATCACTGATCAGAACTGTACTCAATGAAAAGTGTACTCAGTGAAGAGTCTAGTCCAGTGACTGTATAGTAGTGTTTGATCAAAGTTTATCAAACAGTATTGAAAATGTAGCATGTTCAAATCACTGAGTTCTACACTATTAGTGGAAGATTAATTCACCCAGATTGACTTAACGTTTACTGCTTCGCTCATAAAACCGTGGTACGCGTATACAGGCACAAGTGAGCACATACAGCAAAGAGTCTTGAATACTTCCGAAAATGTTTGGGTTCCTTACGTATATCACGAGTAAAACTAAAAGTATTATAATGATTTAATCGCCTAGCTTGCAGGTATCTGAAATATGCACATTATTATCATAACGTTGTTGTATATGCATTCCTACATAAATGCTGAAGCTGAGTCATATTTGATTCCTATATATTGCACAGTTTTCATAAAAACTTTGATGCCTTTTTTATATACACTCTTCATTTAGAATAACTTTTTATTTCATATTTGCTAAAGTTATCGGCTGAAAAAGTGTTTCCGTCGAATGGTAATACTTTCATGTCAGTTTAATCACGGGCTAATTTGCCGTTGTTTAGTGAGAGTTGATCAAGATACAATTATAAGGCATGAAAGATGAGCAAAAGAAAACCCGCCAAAAATTGTTAAGTGCATTACGAATGGCGTTGCGACTACTGTAGATTCAGCACACAAGAAACATTCTTCCTGCTCGTTAGAATAGCACAACAGGCGTGGGAAGAAGTGGGTAAAATTGAATTGAATTGAATAGAAGTAAAATTTCCGATTGCATGAAATGAAGCCTGGGACAGCATTACAATATGAATTCGCCATATGCTGAAAGCGATTTCCAATTTCAATTTAATCCGAATTGTCTTCGCCTGAATTAATGAACTCGGACCTAGTGCTTTACGTCAATTCCTTATTAAAAGCAAGGAAAACTGAGATAAATAATCAAAAGTATACTGAAATTCCTCATGATATAGTTGGAATGTTTTGAGTCATTTATAATCAGAGATTATATGTATGATTGGTACTGAGATTACGGAACTTTAACACTTATTAGTGTCTTTGTCTACGCGACAAAAGCTCGGAATATTAATTGTCATTCAGGGGCCTGTTGTTCGAAAGGCGTTAATTTAGCTTAAACGGTGGATATTAAGTTCAAAATGGAAAACAAAATTATCTATTCATTGAACAACAGAGCTGAAATATTTCGATGTAAACAGTTTAATATTCAATGGAAGTACATATTTTATAAATCATTCACAACATCAATGAGAGTGTTTTTGAAATTTTGCGTATCCATGCACCGTTTAAGCTAAACGCCTTTCAAACAACCGGCTCCTATATGGTATATATGGTATGCTTCAGTACGCTAAAAGTATTCCGTATTTTGCTAGTTCATATATCAAATTTTGCACAAGACTATTTGTTTAAATTTCTACATTTAAGAATCTCGTAATGCAAGTCGATACCGCTTCGAAAGCAGCAGGAAGGAATAGGATTGTGTAGGCTTTTTTGCGGGCTAAAACAGTTTTGCAGTTTGCAGAAAAAACTATTATCAGTAATACAACTGAAAGAGCATTGGTCGCAGGTAAAAACCGAATTGATCTTGGCGTTTTGCCTTAATTGTACTTCGATAAAGAATCTTACGAATCATGCGACCAGCCAGTCAGACGAGGCACTTGCAAAAAAAAGAGTACAACACACGGTCAAGTGGTATTAATTTATAATTTTTAGTTCCCCGACAGCGTTAATTAACTGTTATTGCGGTCGTGTGAATGCTTCACTTTCGAATGCCACATTTTCACCGTTCCTTGACGATATGTAGACAGCTTGAAATGAATCTCAAAAGATCAAAAATACTGAAAACGAACTTTCATCTCTCAAACGAAAAGTTGTTTTGTCTGTTCTCGTGGACTTATTATGATTCAAACTATTCCACGGTCAATCTACGGCATTGGAGCAATAAAACGAAAAAAGAATATATTATATATTATTCGTGTTGTGTGCGTAATTCGAACTACAACCTATTTTTACGGCTAGATTTGTAAAAATACTGAATCATGGGTAAGGAATTCACATCCTTACATATAGTGCGGTTGCCAGCTTTGGCAATTGGGGGAGCACATATAATCATGACATGAATTCATATTCACTGGCGGTAAAAACAATCAATTTCAAAAGAATAGTCTACAACCCGAGTACATGATCAATTAATAAATACCATCTATTGTGTACACAGCGTGTAATTAGCCACCGCGTTGTCCTGTCGACCGGATGCATATAAAAAAGATGAAGAAAAATATTTTCCACGAGAAACAGTAATGCGGCTAACAATTTCACATTCATATTTTTAAACGCTGCAAAGACATTCGTGTATGTGTATTGTGCATAGTAAATTGTTTGGCGTTGAAAACAATTGTTGTAGTGAGTGTACATTCATTGGGAATTATATTTATATTACGGTTGAAACTTGAACTTCCTGTTATTTTTTTTAGTAATTAACGCGCGGGTGGATCTATCACGAACGGATGTTGATAATGTATATATAATACAAAGCGCCTGGTCAAGAGAGAAAAACAGAGAAGCTGGCAAGTACCACCACAATGGCAAGAGTGTATGTATGCTTTTGTGTTATGCTTGTGATAATGCGCAGTACCAAAAGTCAGTTTATGAATACGAGCGTTTTAACAAGGATATCCACACCAACACCGACTTCATTGAAAACAACAACTCCTGATACTTCTTTTCTATCATCGGCCGATATTTTAAATTCCACATTTCGGGGTTCCATGGATGGTGTTACGGCTACACTCATGCATAATAATATATCAGCAGCAGGTTCGTAATTTTCTGTGTGTATAAAATGTGTATTAATGTAACCCGATCTTGTAATTTTTATCAGCTACCAAGATCCGATCGGATTCCCATATATAGCCCCACCTGATTTCTATAATTACAAAATTTATACCAGGAGGGGACAGTCTAACTAAATTTGAGCACCTTGGTTAAAAGTTGCATATACAGGGTGTATAAAAAAAAAAGTAATTTAACTTGAACACGCTATTGTTCGTGAACTACTCAGTCTATGAACGAAATCTCTTCAATTCGGAATGTCAGTCACAAAAGCATATTTTCACCTTTGAGCCTAATTAAAGCAGTGCATAACCAAAAAAAAACAATTAATCACGAACATCTCACAGCTTGCACTGGTTTTACAACATGTTTATTGCAATTATTTACATTTAAACTTAATATTTAAATTTTAAAAACTTTAAATTTACATTTAAACAATAAAAAGAGATTATGCGTCGATGCCTTCAAATTGACCACCATCTGTATCGAAACAAAGTTGACATCCCCGCCGCATCAATTTGAATGTTCTCCTGATGTGTTTTAGTCCTACTTAATATGCATTTGCGGGTAGTTTATTCACAAGCAAAATTCTTCAATTAAGTCCCAAAGGGAGTTAACTTTCAATGGGTTTTAGTCCCAACTCTCAGAGGTGAATATATGCGACTTTTTTCAGCCTCGTATTTGCTCATTTTTCACCATTTGCCTAACCTTTGCGAATGTGAAAAAATTTCGTTAATATAGCTTGAGTATAGTTCACGTACAATAGCGCGCCAAAGTTGGATTACTTTTTTATACACCCTGTACATGTATGGTCACACTGATGAATGAATAATTATGTTAAAACCAAACGCTAGACTGCCATGGCATATACGAAATCATACAGCAAGGTTTCGATTCTATTTCAAAGTCATCATCAGACTATATCTTTAAAGCTACATATTTCTAATTCATTACGTCAAAAACGGAAGTCTCAATCAAAGAATCACGACGGGTTAGCAGTGAAAAAAGTGTCTACGTGCATAGATGTATGATATAAGAAACTTCAATCTTATGCGAATTACCATCTACCTTCCACACAGACAAAGTATATTTAACGCAAAGTAACTGACAAATAGAATTAACTTGTGTAAATTCGGTCTATCGTTTGGTTAGTGCTTGTAATCGAACAGTTTTCATCAAATTTTGAGGTGAATATCCTACCAAATTATTTTGTTATTGTATACGTCACAGCCACAGGGTGCCACGATAAAGATACCTATATACGAGTGACAAGTTACGAATGATCTGGGACCGGTTGTATAAAACTCTTAACTACACTTTTCATAGCATCCTAGTTAACTCAGAAATACACAACTCTGATTGGCCAATTCTGTCCTTAACTACAGTTAAAAGTTAACTAGTCTTTTATACAACTATAGCCCTGATGTATAATAAACAATTATTGGATTCGGATTCATTATTATCGGATTCAATAATTATTTATTATATACATTTAAATATATCAGTAACGTATAAAATGATTAAACGAAGTTTATTACTGCTTATTTTATTTTATTAATGTTTATTTAATTTCGCGCTCTTTTCGGTTAGCCACACAGCGGAAGTTGATACGACGTTTAACAATGCGCAATCATGTGTTTAGACGTTTTATGCTCTTATCACTACTTATGCTCTTGTCACTTCCTTTATGCTAATAATGTAAAATTTTTAAATTTTTCACATTATAATTGTTGATTTCAAAATACAGATGACACATAAAATGCTTTCGATGTAAAAAAACAGCTTATTGTTTCTAGCATAAAAAGGTATCATATTTACGACTTGTTGCAGAAATATCCATTTAATTCCATTCGAGTTTGAAGCTCAACTATAACACCCGGATTAAATCCAATGGCCCCTTTGGCCATTCATACACTGAGCAGATATTTATTCATCAAAAACACGAGGAGTACGAATCACCCGTACCACAATATGCACAGTTGCCGGGTAGTGAAAGGTCTGGGCTCATCCGAGGAAAATTATTGCTTTAATGGAAAGTTTTTTATGATGAATTTCAGAATTATTCGCTTACGATTCTTAATGGCATAGTCAGGCCTGGGCATAGTTGATATTTTATTACTTTCTTTAAAACTTAAATAATTTTTTATTTTTATTTCTTGCGAAGCTATAACTGCAGGACCGTCATCACCAAGCATGGTGCCATCATCGACTATAAAAACATCAAGCTTGAGCATTTCTCCCACATCTTCAGTAAAAGGTAACACTGCAACGAGGCCATATGTTTTATTATGCACATGGACAAACCGAATCACAGCGATCTTTATTGCCAGTGGTGGATCTAGGGGTGTGCAGAATAAATTATTAGAGTTTAATATCAGAATCGTATTGGTAGATTTTAATGTAAAAATATTCTTTTCAAATCTATAACCAATAGGGTTGTGATTAAGGTGTTTTGCATTTAAAATTAAGCTGTGTAATTTATTCTCCACACCCTTAGATCCGCCACTGTTTATTGCCAATTCAAAAATGGATGTTTTTCTTGGAATAACGCGCTATGAAGAACGGAGACGGAGTCAAGTTTTTGATGAATATCAAAATAATTGGCTTGTGATTTATAATGCATGATTGATGTTTTAAAATCGTTCTCGTCCATGTTATTTGAAAAGATGCGCGCGCAGAGAAAGTTTTTCTTAAGCAAAGAAAAATGTTGTTGTCCAAATTCTATAGGAAACAAAATCTCGCTTAGAACTTAATTTCTTAACATAACGCAATATCATCATATTTAGGAATTGTGTATCCACCATCAAGTGGGAAGATTTTTACTTTCCTACCTGGATCAACTGCAAAGATAGTGTGGACATATGATTATTCTATATCTTCTATTGTTCTACGGTCATGGGAATTCAGGAGTACAAACGTTACCACTCCGGTGATGCTTGCTAGTATCACTCGTGATGGTAGCCCTACGATATTCGTCAGCTTTCCTGTGATTGCAGTAGAAAAACCATCAACATTAATTTTACAGAATGTTGATCACCGTTATGATGGAAAATACAGATTCACTGTTTCAGCATTTACAGCTCATTCTTCCTCTGAAGTTGTCGTCTTCGTTGCAGGCAAGTTCAGTCTTTTATTGATTTAAAGTTTCCAATTTCAAAGATTGGTCTTGACAAAAATATGAAATATATCATTTGAACACAAACCCAAATATACTTGAAACATGCCACAATTAATATAATTATTAATAACATTTATTGGTGGTTTTCAATGACTTATAATTACCTGAGGAATTTAATTGACGAGCGCATGATTGTAAGAAAAAGGATATTGCAGCGCTTTGTCGGGTATGCAGAGACATTTTTGGGCCTAAAATATAGTACAGTTGATTGTATGGCAAAAAAAGCATGCCTGTTTTTTGAAGTTACCTGGTTGCAATTAAAAAAATAAACGGTGACGTATGAATTACAATAACGCTTTGTTAAACCTGGGTTTTGCGTAAATTAATCTTTTCCTTGTCAATTATAACACGTCCATGAATTTATGTTTATTCTTCGTTCTCCTATACCTCACATTGCCTTAATCTATAACAAGTACCTATACTGTATAATTGGTATGTCAATATATTTTAGAGAAGCCAACCGTGACATTGAATTGTTCCAGTCCAGTCACGCTAAATGAAGGTGAAAACTTTGCGTGTCTATGCAGAGGTGAAGGTGGAAATCCTCCTGCTAATGTTACCTGGTTTAAAAATGGAGTCAAAATTACTGATGTTGGAATAGAAAGACAAACATTGAAACTCTCAAATATTAGTAGAACAGACAATGGAACATACAAATGTAAAGCCACAAGCTACCCCCATCAAAATTATACAGACGAAAAATCATACCAAGTAATAGTTTACGGTGAGTATACAAAATACTCGAGAGGGTAGTTAAACACGCAGAAAAGCATAATAAAGAAACTAATACATACAAAAAAAAAGCTAATTAAGTTTTAAAAAAGTGATAAAACATCAACTATGCCATTAAGAATCCTAAGCGAATAATTCTGAAATTTATCATAAAAAACTCTCCATGAAAGCACGCACGTTTAAGTTATCGAAACAAAAACATAAATAATACAATAACTGATATCAAGGCGAGTGAAACATCAAGCAACCATGTGACAGTTGACAGTATTATTAGTGAATTATATGGCGTATTAGGTCTGATACCTCGCCGAAGTCATAATACCAACGGAGAAATAAACTAATTAATGCATCGCCAAAGTAATCATACCAACGGAAAATAAACAGATTCCAAGCTCAAGATATAATATCAACGGAGAACTAAACTAATACCAAGCAAAAGTCGTCATACCAACGGGAACTAAAATGACACATCGCTCAAGACATCGCACCAACGAGGAAATAAACTGATACCTCGCCGAAGACAACATACCAACGGAGAACTAAACTGATACCACGCCCAAGACATCATACTAACGGAGAATAAATCAATACCTCGCTTAAAACATCATACCAACGGAAAACAAAACTGATACCTCGCACAAGGCATCATACCAAAGGGAACTAAACTAATACTTCGCCCAAGACATCATACCAACGGGAAAATAAAATGATACCTCGGCCAAGACATCATACCAACGGAGAAATAAACAGATACCTCTCGCAAAGCATCATACCAACGGGGAATAAACTGATGCCACACCCAAGACAACATACCAACGGGGAAATAAACCGATGCCTCGCGCATGACATCATATACAAACGGAGAAATAAACTGATACCAAGCCCAAGACATCATACCAACGGAGAAATTAACTGATACATCGCCCAAGACATCAAACCAACGGAGAACTAAACTGATGCCACACCCAAGACAACATACCAACCGATAACTAAACTGATATTTCGCCCAAGACATCATACCAACCGGGAAATGAACTGATACCTCACCCAAGACATCTTACCAATGGTGTAATAAACTGATGCCAAGCCCAAGGCATCAAACCAAGGGAGAACTAAACTGATACCTCGCACAAGACATCATACCAACCGGAAAAAAAACTGATACCACTCTCAAGACATCATACCAATGGTGAAATAAACTGATACCACGCCCAATACATCATACCAACGGAGAACTAAACTGATACCTCGCACATGCAAGACATCATACCAACCAGAAAATAAACTGATACCTCTCTCAAGACATCATACCAATGGTGAAATAAACTGATACCACGCCCAAGACATCATACCAACGGAGAACTAAACTGATACCTCGCACATGCAAGACATCATACCAACCAGAAAATAAACTGATACCTCTCTCAAGACATCATACCAATGGTGAAATAAACTGATACCACGCCCAATACATCATACCAACGGAGAACTAAACTGATACCTCGCACATGCAAGGCATCATACCAACCAGAAAATAAACTGATACCTCTCTCAAGACATCATACCAATGGTGAAATAAACTGATACCACGCCCAAGACATCATACCAACGGAGAACTAAACTGATACCTCGCACATGCAAGACATCATACCAACCAGAAAATAAACTGATACCTCTCTCAAGACATCATACCAATGGTGAAATAAACTGATACCACGCCCAAGACGTCATACCAACGGAGAACTAAACTGATACATCGCGCAAGACATCATCATACCAACCGGGTAATAAACTTATACCTCCCCCAAGACATCATACCAACCGGGAAATAAACTGATACCACGCCCAAGACATCGTGTCATCGGTAAAAAATTCTACAACCCATTCAAGACATCATGTTTTATGCTCATTTAAAAATTGATGCACTCAAGAAATATTTGTTGCATTAAGAAGCCTGATTATTCAAAAACTAACAACATTCTGGATTGAAATAGTAGGCAAAAGTGAAAAAGTTCAAGTTATCAAATTAATACAATCATCACAACGTGATCGAAATTGGTATTTTAAAGATGAGAGAATTGTGGGGGGTCCGCAGGACCTCTTGCAGAAAATTTTATGTATTTTTGAGTCCCTATGACTTGATTTCCAGCATTTTTAGAGACAACTGCTTATGAATGCACCTCAGAAGAGTGAGGTCTGTTGGGAAAATACTGTTTATCACTGCACATTTCTCATTTCATTACTGCACATTCTATTTTTATCACTGCACAAATCGGTTATCGCTGCACACTAAAGTTAAGTATGTCGTTGGTTGTGGCTATGACTTAATTAATAAGTGGGGCAATTTTTATGTCTATTTTTTCGCACTGTTTGCGAAGGCGCTGCCTCACAACCGGTCACACACCTTAACTTGAAGCACGGAAATGTTATCAATTTTAATTCAATTTTCTTTCCATTGTCGCGTTTTTCTACGGGTGGAAGGATTTAGATGCCTGCAGGACAAATATATACGCGGTACTTCTATGAATTGAAGATTTCAAAACACTTTTCTCACAAGGTTTGGATACATTTCTCCGTTCACAATTTCCGTATTTTTTTAGGTCCTCAAGAAACAGATGTACCAATTGACTCTCCTTGTCGGCCATTTTACAACAAAACTAATCTGCCTCAAGACAGCATTGAGATGGCACATTATCAAATGCATCCATTCTATCCCTTAGTGTACACCTACTGTTCTGTGAATCTTTTACCATTAATTTGTTCCATTTATCTTCCTGTGTTGGATAACGTTTCCAGCAAGATTCTACCACCGTGTTGGGATTTGTGTGATCAGGTCTCGATGGATTGCAGTTATGCAATTAGGAAATTGAAATTCCCAATTTCGACTTTATTACAACGATGTTCGTCCAAGTCCGCTCCAGGCAATGCCACAAGTACAAAGTGTTTCCGTGAGTATTTACACTTTGTAACTCCTCGATTCCCGAAATTGATTTTGGCGCGTTTGCAGCAGGATTAGGACGACAAAAGTCTTTTGTTTTCATTTTGCATTATCAAGATAACTTAATTTTACAGTGATATCTTTGTTTAAGACTGATTTCAAATGAATTCTCCACAAACCCAGTGGCGTAGCCAGCCTGACATTTAGTTATGCTATGCTAATATTTTGGTGTTCATTGACTGTGAAAACAACGAATTTCTATATAATTTAATAATTCTAATGACTTGAAATTTGCATAGCATGACAAAATTAAACTGTCAGGTTGGCTACGCCACTGAACAAACCGCTTGCATAATATGGAAAAATCATTAATTTCCATACCATTTTTGAAAAAAGGTTTAAAGGCCATTTAATTTCGCATGGAAAGGGCGAGTAGGTCTTGTTTGTGAATATCCCAAATCAATTTCTGACATAATTTGGCGATGGTTTTTAAATTAAAGATATTTTTATTTTCAAGGGCCAACAGCTGCGCCTACGCAAATAGAATCTGGTAAGTAGCCTATATTTCAGAATCTGCAATTAGCATTTGAATTTAGTTTTTGGGGTTCCTTTTTTTTAAAACCAAGAGCGTAGGACCTCGTAACGGCGACTATCTTTATTCTTAGGCTGAATTTATTCTTCAAATGGAGTAAAAATGCTTTGCATGTTATTATATATTTTCAAAGTGCCTCAACATCGTCATCGTGAGAAAAGCTAATCTCATTAATAACGTGGCAGGAATTGTACACGTGTGGGGTCTGCAAAGTCAGAGTTTTTTTTTAAAGTTTGGACACCAAATTTATTTCCTACTTAGCGACATTTTATCGAGAAAAGAACCAAGCATTCAATTATTCTTTTCAAAATGTTCCGAATATTTCTGCAGGATTAGGTTCAAATGGCACTATAACATTACAGTCTTGAAACCGAATTGGAATGGTTATAATTTTCTATTATGCAATGTTAATCTTGTGTTAAAGAGTACTCATGCTTGTGTACTTGCTATCTTATTGTTTCAAGTCGAATATTAATTGAAATAAGAAATTGTGAGTTCACTTTCAAAACGCAGTGCGATCTGCAAACAATATTTCCGGTCTTAGTCAAAGTCATCTAACCATCTTTTCCTATTTTAAAATCCAGATCAATCATGTTGCTTTACTGTGAAACCGCATCCATTTTGCATCCCATTCTTCGGTCAATCCTCGCTCAATAGCAGTCAACAAGATGAAGTTATTTTCAGCTTGAGCACGTATCTTCCACTATTTCACGCCCTGGAATCACTAAACCAGCAATTCTGTGTAGCAAAGTTATCAGAATATCTTTGCCTGAAAAAATTCCAATATTGTGATATGCGCTTTGAAGAGGAAAGTGGTGGATGTTCGCCAGGTATTTTCAAAGTACCCAGTGAACTTTGTTCGTACATCACAGACGCTTCGTCACCTTGTTCTTTGAGTCGTATCAACACCACTCTTCAAAACGCTGGGTATAATATTCCAATAATAATGTCAGATTTTCACTGCTCGACATTACAATCATCCATTCATGTTGAAGAACATTCGTCAAATATTCCACTCTTACCACGTAAGTTTTGATTTTATCAATTTACGAAATGGTCTTGAAAAACATACTTTTTAGCTGATGAAGGAATACGAGCCCTAAGAAAAACTGGAAATACAACATATAGTACTAGCCGTGTTATTTGAGTAATTACCGAAACATTTACTTACATTGGTATGCATGTTTTATTGGTATGTTGTTTGCTAGTCCATGTATCAAATAACAAGCTGTTTGTATCCCTTGCCCGCAATGCATGCATGCATGTAGTTTTGGCAGGGGGGGCGCGGCTATAAGTACATTAACTTTTCAATATCAAGCAGGCCTTCTCATTCAATCAATCAATTCTAGCTACTTTCCTGACTCACTGCAATTTTCCCTATGAGGACTTGTGATAATGGCCAAAATATTGTTGATTTTACTACCTACTCAGATGAAGAGCGTACATGCTGTCAAAGAAAATTACAATTAACGCATAATGCTTTATTTTAGGTGTTAAATTACTGCTTATTCTTACAAGCATAAAGTGATATTGTTGATTTATTGCAGAAATATCAAGCACAGTGGCATTACCATTTCGTTCATCTGCATTTTACCCTAGTCGAGTTTCAAGATCAATTAAATCTGAAGCATCAGGAAATGTGGTTACTACATCCGTGTTAAATTCAACAGTTTCACCTGGCGATATCTCTGCCACACTTTCCGCAAGGCCAAGTAGTCAACATATTGAGATCGGTACAACAAACAGGCCTTGGTTACCGCAAACAACAAGTATGTTCAGCAGGTTTACCACCATTTGAAATTCATATATTAATTAACTTCGTGCCCATGTAATAATGTGTACATGCAGATCTTTGTAAATCAAATACCAAGGTTTATGAGATAGTTTTAAGCTTTTTACGTTTTGAGGTACGCGCGTTCCAATAATCAGCCGAATTAAAGCGAATAAACATCTGGAAATTAGTTTGCAATTGGCCAGTTTAAATATAATGCGATACAAGTAAATGAGGCAAAATGAGAAGATTTTTCTCGCTTTTTCCTGCAACATTGCAGTTCTAATTCCAAGTCTTCATTCCCAGTTAACTCTAATAAATAACTGGAACGATACCTCCTCATTGTTTTTGTGAAGCCAAATTTTGCGAGACTTTACCTCCAGACACACGTGATTTTGGCTTCATTCGCGGGTGACTCGCGAATTAACTGTGGGGGAAGCTTGCTTTTCATCAGCGAACAGGGCAAATTTGAAAGAAAGTTGGTTTTGTTGGTTTCATAGTTTTGTGACAACAATATTTGAAATGTTTTTCGACCACGTGTGCAATTTTGACAACAATATTTTTACGAAACGGGCATCTAATAGCTGCATGCATGCGTGCGGTATGATCACAGCACCATTTAAAATGCATATTTTATATCCTGAATTGTGATTGGCTAGTTGTATATACTAAAGAGATTTTTATTAGCTATCAGCAAGATGCGATTACAATTCACGAAGGGTGGAATTCCTAATAAATTTCATAGCCTGAGACCCATAGCTACAATAATGCTATTTTAAATAAAAATATACCTATCCACATCTTTTCTATTAGAGTCCCAAATCACAGATGGTCTTCGTATTCCACGGTTAACAAATTTTTCAATAGCAAAGCCAAGTTTAAGGAGCTTTAACATTAGTTGGAATAATTTACCAAGCACGAAGGAGATCAAGGAATATGGTATATTGTGGAGAAAGATAGTGGAAGCTGATTCTTCAAGTGGGGAAACTAATTACCAGCACATTCACTCCACAAAGAAATATTATATAATATTCAACAATATATCAACACTAAATTCACAGTACGAAGTGTTGATAACGGCGATAGGACAGGATGGGATTCCGCAACCGTTTACCATCGTTAATTTGCCGCTAAGCAAAAGTAAGTTGAACTATATATGTCGATGGTATTGTTTGAAAAGCAAACCATGCACGTTGGCGAGTTAAATAATAATCCGTAAGCCCTTCGTTTTTAATATTTTTATGTATATATCATTCGTGGGCTTGCGTTTTATATTTCTTGAAATATATTCCCTGGTCCCAAATGCACAATAACTAGTTAGGTTTTAAATACTACATGTTACTAAGGAACTGAACGGCTCCAGTCAGTCAGGTAACGTTAGTTACAGACATTACAGCTCCGATGATTCCGCATAGAACCAAATGAATTTCTTCTTCCTAAAGGTTTTTGTCCGGGTGAAGAAGTCGGTTCTCCAGAAGCATATGGGATTTTCCAGTGGCCAGAAACTCCAGTCGGAAACGTTGCTACACTTGCTTGTCCTTATAACAATGAGTCTATCGCGAGTCGTGATTGTTTTTCAACATCCGAAACAGAAAGTGGAGGTTCTTGGGGGACGATTGTAGTAACGAAATGCAAATATAAAGATTCGCGGAGTAAAAATCTCTTCATTTTATCACAGGTAATTGCATGAATACCTTTGAATAGAAATCGACTGTAATTCGAAGGTTATTTTCGATGCAATTTTAGATAACTTTTAGAATGTAAGTTTCTTTTATACCCAAGGTTTCTTTTTAATCTTCCATATTACAAATCATAAAAAAAATAATGGCACTAAAAACCAAAATAATCGCTATTGTTTCTATTAACTAATTAATGCTCGAAAAGATGAAATAGCTATTTCGCTAGCGTATACATGCATGCAACAATTGAGTTTGTCTTTCGTAGGTTCTGAAACTGTTTAAGAAATAGAAAACATTTTCCGTGTTTCTATACAGTTATAGAAACACGCGTGGGAGTTTGGGAGAACGAGAAATAATCAGTGGGAAAACGAGCCCGTAGGGCGAGTTTTTCCACGTTATTTCGAGTTCTCCCAAACTCCCACAAGTGTTTCTATAACTGTATAGAAACACAGGAAAAACGTTTTCTATTTCTTTTATAATATAACTCAATAAAAAGATTTTTTACAAATATTATAATTCGATTCAATTACAAATTCTCATTACATTACTTCGCTTGACAAGTTCGGCGGGAAAATTCCCGTGTTTCTGTACAGTTATAGAAACACGCTTCTCGACCAATCAGCACGCGCGTACTATAAATGTTATATTATAATAAGAGATATTATATTAAATTACTGCTTAACATTTTTTCAATTCAGAATAAAGTTAATAGTAGCAACGTTGTGAACGTCACTAAAGAGCTAAGAGACTTGTCTTCAACTAATCAAAGCAACACTCTTAATCCTGGTGATATTGACTATATCGCTACAATATTAGAAAATATTGCTCTGGTGAAAGAAAAAGCAAACGAGGTTTGTCAATGTTGAAATTGTTTCTTGCTTATTGTTTTGTTTCGTTATGAGGTGGTGGTTAAAAAGATATATTGCAGGAGAAACTCGGTTGAAAATAATACTATACTAGTTACGTCAATTTAGATCCTCTTATTTTGATGTATAGCTAACATACTTTCTTTCATAAAAACTATAACGAAATAGAATCGCATTAAAGATCCCTAAAGAACAGGATTTTATTGAATTTGGGAACGAATATGCATGGCAGGGAAAACTCAAATTCAAAATCAAGGCAAAAAATGTAATAATGAAGCATTCTAGTAATCTGGTAAAAACATTTTGAAAAAATATTATTTGTGTGGCAAAAAGAGTGCGTGACACATGCAAGCGTTATAATAGAGGTTTGATACGTCGAAGGAACCTCCCCTGCAAAATTGTCCAATTAGACGAACCATGCGGACAATTCGTGTAGACAGATGATCCGTGCTGGTATAAATCGGACTATTATTCCCTAATTGAACGAGCATCATTGCATGATTTTTCTACGTTATTCCTACGCAGTGTTATTAACAAAATAACTGCATTTAGGTTTTAGTTAGGTATTTTCTCATGTTCAAGAGAAGCAGGTTAATTGGCGCTTTTTATTCTTCATATCATACTCTAATACACTTGTGGGTTCATGTTTGTAGATTCTTGACGACTTCCTGACAACTATAGACAATGTGCTGGACTCCAAACTTAAGAATATTCTAAAAAGTCAAGAGGATCGAAACTCATCGTCAAGGTATGTACGATACCTCATAAATTGATCTGGCAAAGATGTGGGTGATGTATGACACCGTTGAAAAAAAAACGAGTATCAGGCCTAGGTTAAACGTCGCATTTAATTTGGTCCGGTCGAATGCAATTCAAACAATAGATTATGAGACGATAATGAGGCTTAATGAGGTTTATCATCTTATTATCTTATGTTTGAATTGCATTCGGCAAATGCGACGTATAACCTTGGCCTCAGCGAGTGAGTCGAGAGAGAAAATAAAAGGTTATTAATTTTTCAGGATTGTCGAAACTCTGAACATCTTCGCAGAATCATTAGTTATTGGCGCACAAGGCAAAATTGAGATTGCGAAAAGAAACTTCGATATTAACTTACAAACGGTGAAGCCACAGAATTTTAGCGGACTTAATTTTTCGGGTATTCAAAGGAGAATGAATCAATCAGAAAGGAAAAATATTACTTTGAATAAAAAGAGCAATGAAGTACGGCAAGTCTTATCTCCTTCGCTCACAATTCCACGAACAATATTCAACGAATCCACGGGTAAAAACAGTTCCTCAAACCAGACAGTGATATTTGTGCTCTATAGAGAAACAAAATTTTTTAGATTATCATCTATTACCAGTGGGACATCGGGTCGCTTGAATAGTCTTGTAATTTCGGGAAGTATTGAAGGATTGTCAGTTTCAAATTTAAGTGTTCCAGTGAACATTGCATTACCAAGCCTCGAAAGAGGTGACACGAAAAGCACCCAGTGCTCTTACTGGAATTTCAGCGCTGGAAATTGGTCGCAAGAAGGTTGCAAGTTTGAACGCGTTCTTGAAGATGGAAGAGTGCTTTGTAGTTGTAATCATTTTACCAACTTTGCAATGTTGATGGTAAGATTATTACTATCAAGTGTTTTTTCTTGTATTAATGAGCTATTAATATACCGGTGCATAGCTTGAACTTCAAGGTTACTTGATAAACTATTAATAATTCGCGTGCAATAAATCTTAAAATTGGGATACAGTTCGTAATGTACACAAATGCTTTGTTTATATTCCGAATCAGTATATCTCCTAAAATATCAAGATGATATCAAGATCTCTCAGAATATTTTAAACGCTTTTAGTTCGCTATGCTTTTAAATGAATATTACATAGAGTTTTCGTTCAGAGATATATGAGACATGCGAAATTCGAGCAATTAATGCTGCAATTTTAAAACAAGTCGACCACCCATTGTTATGAGCATCTAGAACTGATGCGCAGAGGCGACTGTGTCCCCATATTAATTCCTTTAATTATATATGAGCCATTGTGAAACTCTAAAGTAAAGAAGTAAAGCTCGTGACTATTTTCTCCATAGAACATAGCTCCAGGAAAGAAGACTGTACATGACAAAATACTTGGTGTAATAAGTTACGTTGGCTGTGCCCTCTCATTGGTTGGGCTCATCTTGACAATAATCACAATACTAATTTTGAGGTAAATATGGGTTTTTATCATACGAATAATTTTCTACACCTTATATTTTACGTTTTTTATGAATTTCGCAAGGCCAAGGATTGCAAATGTAAACATGCTGGTTTTTCACTAGCCAAATTTTTGTTTCTAAAATCTCAGTGGTCTCTATATCAGGAAAATTGCCCAAAGACAAAAAATATATCAATAGGTCGCGTGAAGAAACACACTAGAGAATACCGAAATTTTAGCAAAATTAGGTATGCAACAGCTGCAGAAGTGGAAGCTTTGCCTTATCACTCATAGGCCCTAACGTATCACACAGACCTTCGGTGGTCGATACAATCGAAAAAGGACTAATAAACGCCCCTATTTAATCATTGTGCGAACATAGACTGTACTTTCGTGCGAACATGTTTCTATCGCGCTATTTTGTTCCTATATATTAAATTTAGGGATCTGCGAAACCAAGTTCCAAGCCAGATTTTGCTGAACTCTGTATTGCTTTGTCGTTGACGATCATTGTTTCTTGGCTTGCTATTGAGAAGTCCAGGACATCATCCCTGGCTGGCTGTCGGGCAGCAGCGATCGCCCTTCATTACTTCCTGTTATCAGCATTCTTGTGGATGGGCCGTAGAAGCGTATAATATGTACTGGGCATGTGAAAGTCTTTCCGCTCCGTCACAATCCAGGCTTTTGCTGAAAGCTGTGTGTTTGCATGGGGGAAGATTTTTGATGAAGAAAAAAGGTCGTCCTTTTGTAGTGGCAGTAATAGTAGAGTAGTTCTAAAAATGTATACAAGACAGCTAGGACTCTTAGGGAAGAGCAATGTGGGTGTAACATATTTGCCCAGTTCAATCCCTTTTAGAAATTGCCTTACAGAGAGCTAGACTGTCTGTTGTAAGTCATCTCTTTTCGGTATCTAGTTAGCGAGTTTAAAATTTAAAAACCTTGCATTCTCGCATACACCATGATAGTTGATGGTTAAATTAATGTTTGGAAGACAGCTAGCCTTTAATTGATGAATATGCATACGGCGCGCGTATCAATCTGTGGCACGGTAAAACACGGTATAGTCTAGGAAGGAAAGATGGTTTTAGTCCCCCAAAAAAATCTCTGGACGATATCAATTTATTATATATCTAAATATCATATACTCAAACAAATGACCATTTTGGCCGAAAAATCATTATCTTGTAATAAATCTTCTTTTGTATATAGGTACTCCGCCGTAACGTGGGTAAACAATGATAGCTGCATTAGATAAATACGGTGACGGAACCTAGTAAGTGGCTTGATTTTTGATCATATTCCATACATTGTAATGAAAAATTTTCGACATACTCCATGCAACTTTACATCATCACTAGTATAAGGATTTTAGGTACACTGACTAGATGCATGGTATAGACGGCGTCGCAAAACATTACACTTGCTGACACGGAAATCTATAGATTATATACAGAAAAGAGAATACTGAACGCAGAACATGGAATTACATCATTTTCCTGCTTTCTGAGGCATGTAGCTACGAAAAATTAGGCGAAAAAATCAAACATTCAAATTTTTGTAGGGCAAAATCCAACAATTTAACTTTCCCGATAAAACCTATTATCTGTGAGATCAAATGCTTTCGTAAATATAAAGGGCTTGTGTATATTCGACAGTTGGAACCCCAATTTTTGGCTGCTGCTCTTAATTGACGCACTATTAAATTTTCAAGTCAATACACTTTTAATCATACGTATTTGGTTAAATTCAACTCTATGGTCGGAGAAGTAACAATTAATAACCTGTTCTTTAAAGTTTTGTGCGTGTTGATAGTCTTCGCCATCAATACTGTTGTTAATAAAAATTACATGGTGTCCGTGATTGTCAGCAAATCAGCACTCAACAAGGATATGTTTTTCTTGCCACGCCGAATAAATATTTGTCTGTTTAAATTGTTACATGATGAACAAAGTGTAACCTCCTGTTTTTGAATAGTTGTCGATTGCATGGCGTACCTTTCATTGCATTCTAACTCCAACTGCTCTTATCATCGTTGGTAAATCGTGGCTTTTGCTTCATCATTCGATCCATGGTCACTTCTGGTGCCAAGGTTACCTCTGACAAGAAAACAACCGGTTATCAGCAAGCAAGGCGGGGAATTGCGATTATGGTGCTGCTTGGTTTGACATGGCTTTTTGGCATTCTCGCGATTGGCGATGCTAAACTGGTGTTTCAATACCTTTTCTGCATTTTCAACACACTTCAAGGGCTGTTTGTGTTCATATTTTTTGTTGTCTTGCCCACTGGAACAAGACGACAACTAAAAAAACTCGGAGCAAGAGTAGTATAGTAATCGTCATAGTACTCAGCGTCAAAGTTTGGGGGAAGACAGCTCCCAGTTAAACAAAAATGTTTGTTCCAATGACATTACAACGTCGACATCTGGTGCACTTGTGTCAACAACTGAAAATCCGACTTTCCCATCCAGCAATTGAAATACCTTTAAAGATTGCCAGTGATTTGTGTCAACAACTGAAAATCCAACTCTTGCCCATCCAGCAATTGAAAACCCATTAAAGAGTGCCAGCGATTTTGTGCCAACAAGTCCAAATCCGACTCTTGTCCATCAAGCAATTGAAAACCCATTAAAGAGTGCCAGCGATTTTGTGCCAACAAGTCCAAATCCGACTCTTGTCCATCAAGCAATTGAAATCCCTTTAAAGATAGCCAGTGATTTTGTGTCAACAACTGAAAATCCGACTTTTGCCCATCCAGCAATTGAAATACCTTTAAAGATAGCCAGTGATTTGATGAAGGAAATGAAGACATCGACCATGTTAACGACATACTAGATCAAAAAGCCTACGAAAGTATGGTTAAACCCAAATTGACTCGCTACAGTGTGAGCAGGGATGGACAAACTTATACCACAACCATTGAACTAACCCTCGCTAAGCACTAGCTTATATTTGTCTCAGAATGTGATTGTTCACTGATGTATATCCAGCATAAAAAATTTCATAAATAGCAGCATGCATGTATGGGGAAATTTGACTCGCTGCAGTGTGGAGGAAGGACCAACTTGTACCACGACCATTGAACTACCTATAAAAAACCCTGGCTAAGAACTGGTTTATATTTGTTTCAGAAAGTAATTAGTGACTGTTCATGCACTGATGTATATCCAACATAAAATAATTCATAAATAGCAGCATGCATGTATGGGGACTCATAGAATTTCTTAGATTGCCTATATAATTAGTGACGACATATATACTGTCTAGGTAAATTTATTGATAATTATTTGATTTTTAATGCACTTAATCTGAATTTGATGAATATTGAGCAAGGGAAGTAACGGCTAAGAACTTTTAGGTTTTATATTCATATAAAAATATAAACATACGTATATCGGCTTGTAAAAGATTGACGTGTAATTAGATTAGTTGAATGGGAAAGCATATGAAAAAAAGATAAGTAAAAATATAAAATTGCTGTAAAAAGCTGTCTATGTTTATTTTACATGTTCAATGCATTTTTGCCATTAGAATAATCCCCGGGCGAGGTACTAATTCCGCTGGAGATTTTACGCCCGGGAAGCAAATGCGAAATGAAAGATGTCCGTCGTCATGGACGTTGGGTGGTTTTAAATTATGCGCATGCGCGAGTTTAAGTGCGCATGCGTGAGCTAAACTCGAAATAACGTGGAAAAACTTGCCCTACAGGCTCGTTTTTCAACTGATTATATCCCGTTCTCCCAAACTCCCACGCGTGTTTCTTAACTGTACAGAAACACGGAAAATATTCAATTTCCTAATTGGATGGTCTTAAGAATATACGAAAAATTGACTCGTAAAATTATTAAATTTTATTTAAAAGATGCCTTCGGACAGAAAATTTTTCAGTCATTCAAATGGATGGTAAAAAACTACGATTTTGAAGCATTTTTGGAGTGTTGAACAGGCCGTAAATGGGTAGATTTTGTATTTAATTTTAGAGCATGCAATTATTATCAACAAATGTATGACACCTCTGTTAGTTTATTCGTCAATTTCGTTAAAATCATTTGATTGGGAAGGATATAGTATATAGTATATAGTATAGTATATAGTATAGTAATAGTAATAGTAATAGTAATAGTAATAATAGTAGTATAAGTAATAGTATATAGAATATAGTAATAGTATATAGTAATAGTAATAGATATAGTATATAGTAATAGTATATAGTATATAGTAAAGTATATATATATAGTAAGTATATAGTATATAATATAGTATATATAGTAAAGTATAGTATATAGTATATAGTAAGTATAGTATATAAATAGTATATAGTATAGTATATAGTATAAGTAAGTAATAGTATAAGTATATAGTATATAGTAATAGTATATAGTAGATAGTATAGTATATAGTATATATAATATAGTAGAAGTAATAATATATATATAATAGTATATAGTATATAGTAAATTAATAGTATAATAGTAGATAGAGTAATAGATTAGTATAAGTATATAGTATATAGTATATAGTATAAGTAATAAGTATATATAATAAGTAATAGAAGTATAATAGTATAAGTATATAAGTATATAGTAATATAGTAATAGTAATAGTATATAGATAAAGTAGTAAAGAGATATAGTAAATATAGTATATATATAGTATATAGATATAGTATAAGTAATATAGTATAAGTAATATAGTATAATAGTCGACACAAACTCAGGTAAAAAGTTAGTTTTTCCAAACTATTTCGTCTCAAGTTTTGAAAATGTATTTCATTTTCTCCCTCTATTTGTGCAAAATTTGGCGATATATTGGTGCAAAATCTGTGTTTTTATGTCAAAAATTATTGAAAAGTGACAGTCAGATTATATAATTTCAAACCTGATGACTGAAAGGCTTCATTTATCAAAATTCACAAAATATACTGTATTTTTTTTCTTTATACCACAGTAATACTGTTAAAATGGTCAAAAGTAACTGACTGAAATGTTTTTGTTTATTTTCGTTTTAATAAAGTACAGACGATGCATAGCTTGCATGCCGGCCTGAAGGCCGAATTTTAAAAAGTCGAATTCGAATGCATCTGAGTTGCATCTGAATTCTACCGCATTTTGTTAGTACAAAACACTATTCTTCTATCTACTACCATGCAATAGATGTTAATAAGGGTTAACCAGGAATACTTGAAAAGGAAAGGATCCCGTTCACCATCGTAAACGGAAAAACACTTGCGAACTCCGGTTTAAATATTTTCGCTTTCGGCTTTGCCATCATGTAAAGGTGTATCTTAAAAAACGCTGCAGCTCGCATTGTGGCTACCTTTATAGTATGTTATTGCCGGAAAGGAATACAAATGGCAATTCAAAATAGACAAGATATTAGTTTGGTTATAAGTATTTTCTATCCATGTCATGCATGTGTGCCAAGTTGAAGAGTTATTGTGCTTTCAGTCGGCATCACATCACATGTACTGTACTCTGTAGTCTATATACACAGGGAAAACAAACATAA